CCCCTGGGGGGCTCCTTCCTTGCCCACAGATTTTGCCAGGGCTGGGGCAGGGGTGGGCTCCCTTAAGTGCCTTGACCTGCTGGCTTTGCAAGGATTGCTCAGCGGGCCAGCAGTGGTGGTAGTGCTCCCGTCCCCCAGCAGGCTTAGTTTAAAGCCCAGTGGAGCAGGTCAGCCAGTCTGGCTGAGAAGAGCCTCCTCCCTAGGGGAGAGAGGTGGAGGCCATCTCTTCCCAGCAGCTCGCTGCCTCTCTCACCAAAGAGCGGGCTGTGGTCATGAAAGCCAAAGCCTTCCCAACGACACCAGCGCCACAGTCTTTGGTTGACCACGTGGATCCTCCTCTCCCTCCTGAGCCCATAGCCTGAGACTGGGAGGATCGATGAGAACACCATCTGTGCCCCCAGACCCTTTAGCCCCGCTCCCAAATCCCTGTAGCGCCTCATGACCTGGCTGGGAGCGCTCCGAGCCGTGTCATTGGTGCCCACATGAATTTACACACACGGAGTTTCCAAAGATGGCTTATAACTTAAAAAAAAAAAATCAATGCATACTGTATAAAGTAGTCATTCAAACCTTTTCCTATTAGCAGGAGCAAAAGTCAGTCAAGCTCATCTAAATTTTACTTATCCCAAGAAAATGATTTCCCTAGAATAGCTTTTAACTTGCTTCTAATTTGTGTGTAAAAATAGAGGTAAGGGAGGAAGGGAGATTAACAAAACCTGGATACAGAAATATTCCAACTTTCCAGATGAGGTACAGTACAAGTAGCAGGGGACACTGTTGTATTAATCTGCTTTAACCTTTACCTGAAGAGACCTCCTCCTGATCTCACAGATCAGTGTATCCATTCAAAGCCTCTTTTCTGAAAAGGTCAACAAGTGGGCCAATTATCAAATGAGGTAACGTGAATTCTCTCTCCTCTCTTGGGAACTGAATTGAGGCTGAATTCATTTCACAAGAACTTTCACATAATTGTTAGATAGCAACTTTTGTTGAAAAAATAAACATTTATTCATATAAATATAAAAACCTAAAAAAACCCCTGAAATATTCACCCTATCCAACTCCTATTGCCATCTTAGGGAACTTAAACATGTGCAGCGAGGCTGCTCCGACATGCTGTAATTACAGAGCATCAGAACAGACTTGATTAATCAAGTTTGCTGGAGTGTGGTAATTACTGTGCTCCAGACGACTCCAGTGTCTCGTGTATCAGCATCCCCATTTTTCAGTACGGGGACGCTAATACACAAGACGCTTTGGGTGCTTTAATTAGAGCAGCTCTTGGAGTGCCTCTCCCCGTACCCCTCCAGGAGCACATGTTTAAAATGTTTAAAAGGCCTTGACGTTCTTAACATTTCTTACTCAGCAATAAAAATGTATTGTTCTCTTTCAAAAGTGAGTGAGTAACTCATAACAAGTCCAATTACACCATTTGGGAAGTGTTTGAACCTAATATTTGTCATGGGAGCAGGAGATAGGAAGAGGGTTAGCAACTGAGATGATGCTTGGTTTGACAGCTGAGAGAGAGGAAATAAGGAAGCCTGAGAATTACAGTAAGAGTTAACCAGTTGGGAGAAGGACAGATTTGAATAGCCAACAACAAATGCCAGAAAATAAAACAAATATTCCTCCAATTGCAGTGGCCATATTTTCTTAATACAATACTCACCTTTCCTCCCAAAATCAGCTCCTCCAAAAATTGAAGTGCTTGAATGAAGTGGGGAAGCTAATTTTCTGCCTGTCATATAAGCACCCTGTTTTCACTCATGCTGCACAACGTAGCAGTTATTCTATTACTATTTAGGCAGCGGAGGGAATCAATGGACTTAAAAGTTCATTGTTCTTCACACCACAAACATCTCTCCTTCTTAATATCTTCATGTTCCACTAACCAAGCTAACTTTTCTTAGGGCAATTTTGGTGACTGCTAGCTGTTCCTGTTCTGTGTCCTCCTATTTCACAGCCATAGAAATTCTATAGCTTTAGCTTTCTTCAAAATCATAGATCCACCCATCTTCAACAGTAATTAGGGTTTCAACTTTTCAGTTACGCAGGGGGTTGGAGGAGTGACAAGGAGGAGGCAAGAGCACCCGTATTTTTTAAAATCATCAGCTATGCCAAATTAGCTTGGACTTTAACAACTACTATATCTTCACTCTGGGATTCACAGGCACAAACAGTCCATAATCGGAACTAAGGACTCCTATAGACATTCAGGAACCCTGCTCTGATGTGCTAGAAATCCAGTGCATCGGAGCAGACTCGATTAATTGATTCTGCCCGAGCATAGAAACTGACATGCTCCGGCAGCCTTCCATGCTGCGTGTAGATTAGTGTCCCTGTGCTGAAAAAATGGTGCTCTGAAATAAAACATTTGATGAGCTTTAGTTCAAAGTGCCCTGTCACCATGCCACCAGGTTTTCAGCACAGAGACACTGATATACATGACATGTGGGTGCTTTTAATTCGCGCAGCTCACTAATTAAAGCGCCCAGCGCCACATGCCAGAGCATGTGTAATAATGCCCTTAGATATAATTCTCTTGCTGAATAAACCACAGTAAAATCTAACTCCCTGTCATAGTTACATGGACTCTGCATAAATAAAAACATAATAAAAAATTAATTGTCATCGCTGAAATAGTACAGTCTTCTAGGGACTATGTCTTAGTATATATTTCTACAGTGTTTCACATAAATCATTCTGTTCCTATCTAGAGACTTACATACTATCACAACATAAAAACATCATAATTAGACAAGACCTGTCACTAAAGATATGCTACTTAAGAAACTGAAGGATTTTAAGAACTTGTACGTTGACATTGAGTTATTTTTCCTACTATAAACACTTTTAAAAGTACAAGATTCTCTTCCTGTGCACCCGAGCCTTCTGCCATATTTGCAGAATAGATAAGTGATACATTACAGCACCAACTAATAGTCTGGGACCAATACTACTGTTGGCATTTTCTGATGGCAGAATTAATCAATCTCCTTTGAGAATGTGTCAATACTACTTCTGTTACTCAGTGTCACTATTCTAGTATGGTTACTGTTGTGAGATGGAAGTTACTATTCCAATGAGCTGTGCACACCACATTCAGACAGCGCACACGCACCCCCCTCCACAGTTGGAAGGAAAGTGAAGAGATCAACAGACCTTCCGTGTTACCTATTTGCCTTTCCAGGTCTGCTGCTTCATCTGGTGTTGCCCGTGGGAGGACGCCCGGATCACTGAAACTAGTACGCAGCAGGGTGCCCATCACGAAAAAGAAAAGAATTCCACCTATTGCAGGAATAGCAGGTGTAATCTTCTCTGACAAGTATGGACAACTGAAAGAAAAAGGGAAAAGACAAAACAATATGTTAAGGCCCCCAGTATCAAATAGTGACGAACATGCTAAAATAAACTCAGTGTCACTTGCAATTAAAGGCTATACATTAAAATCAAGACTATACATTATTTTGAGCTTAGACTGCTTGCAGCAGAATGGTATGCTCATGTTTACTAAAGCAGTAAGTTGGCTTTAAGTAGGCTATCCCCTACCACCATCACCTAGTATGTGTTTACTACATTGCATGCAGTTGATATTTTGCTCACCAGAGAGCAATAGGTTTTATAACGATTATGAGATTACTGTTTAGATTCTATGGGGCTGGTATTGGGTATTATTATAAAGCTTGTTTACAGTCTGAGACAGGACAAGCCTGAAAATAAACCTGTACATAAATTTATAACGAAAAAGCGAAAAAAAACTTAAATGAATTCTACAAAATGAATTACAGCAGAGGAGATGCATGAGGATTTATGTAAGTGGCATGCGTTCCTTCTCATCAGCATTCCCTCAATTTGAGGATGATCTCTACTATGGCTCATCTCCACTATGGCTCAACGATGGGTCTTGAGGTGACTCCAATCCTTGAGCTACAGACCCACCCACAGAAGATTCAGGTCTTTCCGCAGAGGAGAGTATGCCAGAGATTAGGATTTCTTTCCTTTTCCTTCCTCCATTCCTCTCATCACTGCTTCAATGGCAACATGCTTACTCGAAACATGCTGCTACTTGGTTGGGGTTGCAGCATCATTGGAGTTGGTCAACAGCCAGCTCCTCCCAGCTCTTGATGTCAGCATCCGTTTTCTTGAGGTACACATTCAATGTGTCCTTGTAGTGTTTCCTCTGGCCACCGCAAAGTCTCAGGCCATTACTAAAAACAGGGAGTAGAGCACTTGTGTTGGGAGTTGAGCATCTGCACACAATGCCTGGTCTGGCGAAGTTGGTGTTTGAATGTCACTGACTCAATGCTGGTAACCAATGTTTCAGCAAGGAAGCTGGCATTTGTGCAGTGATATTCCCATTTGATGTGGTGGATTTTCCAGAGGCATAATTGGTGATACCTCTCCATGCTTTTGAGACGATGATGGTAGGCCACCCACATCTGTAGAGGGGAATGGGGATGATGACTGCATTGTAGACCTGGATCTTGCTTGGTGTTTTTCCAAAGATCACAATTAATAAAGACATGCTGAAGGAATTTCCCAAAGGAGGTACTTGTGCATCAGATCCTGAGCTGAATCTCCACCTCAATGTTCACTCAGAGAGGTGGCTACTGAGGTAAGAGAAGTGCTTGACTACCTCCAGGGTCTTCATCTCTATGTTAATTTGGGGCAGGTGGGGTCACATTCATGGCTTGGAGCAAGCTGAAAAGAACTTTAGTCTTCTCAATGTTGAGAGGCCCAAAGTCTGGTAGGCTTCTCTGAAAAGATCCAATGTGATCTAGAGGTTTTCCTCTGTGTGCACAGGAATAGCACAGTTGTCAGGTTCAAGGTCAAGGATGATTTTTGACTGAAAACATCCCAGATTGAAGAGCTCTCCATCCGTTTGGCATTCTATGTCAATACCAGTAGGAAGGTAGCCCTTAATGAGAACCAAAACTATTATAAAAAAAATGGAGAACAGAGATGGGCAATGACACATACTTGTTTGACCTCTGCTTGAATGACAAACAGATCTGTCTCCAATCTGCAACATAGAACAGTCATAGTCATGAAGAAACCTCATAACCTTTTAGGTACTTTTCAGGATATCCAAATTTGACTAGTGCTTTTCACAAGGCTTTGCAATTGATGGAATCAAAGGCCTTTGTGAGGTTGATGAAGGCCATATATTCCTAACACTTTTCTTGGACCTGGTGGGCAACAAAGTTTATATCAGTTGTGTGCGGGCCGGGAGCAGTCCGAGGCCCTTTTTTCGCGCGGCGGGCTGTGGCCAGCAGCCTGGGCACGCCGGGTCAGGGACGGCAGGCAGCACGCTAGAATTAGGCACGGACGCTTAATGGTTGTTTAAGATTGTTTACTTACACCGTAGATGGTCGCGGTGCAGGCTGGAAAACTTCCAGGAATACTTCGCTTAAGTACCAGTTTAAGGACTTGGTCAGAGCTCTGGATTCACTCACAATTCACTCACACGAAGTTTGCTAGGCTCCGTGGAACTTTGCGTGCAGGGAAGGGTACGTCGAGGGATCGTTCGGCGATGGGGAGAGGCGAGAGGCTGATCAGACCCCTGTTGCCTTCTTGATATTCACACTGGGTCCAATAGGCTCTGCAGCGCTTAGAGATCTTCACGAGACGTGAAGTCTCCTCCTCCTGATGTTCGTGGAGTCCTCCAACTTGGGCGGAAACCACTCAAGC